TCACGCTTTTCCCTCCGGCAACGCCTTGCAGATCGACTTTCACTTTGTCGTAAACACTTGGCAAGCTCTCGGCGTGGTACTTTCTCCGCAGGTCCATGTACTTCTTCTCGTCGTAGATATCCCAGAACTCTTGCTCCGTGTAATACGCATGCGCGTACAAACACTTCATGCCACCTAGCTCTGTGACTTTTGCTTCAAAGTCTCGGTTCAGCTTGATGAATTCGTGGGCGTCGCTCGGTCCCATATCCCAAATTCCCACGTCGAGGAGAATGTCGTCTTTGATATTGTTACCCTGGGAGAAGCTTCGCTCTCCACGAGGCGCCGACTTCACTGGACACAGCCAGAGCGGCCAAATACCAGTCCTTTCGTCGGTCCATCGGACGAATTCTTCCGCCGCGTCGTATGGTACACCGTAATCTTGGATGATAGTTCGGGATGCGAGACCTGAGCGATGCAGAGCGTGTACCATAGTTCGGGAGGACATGAAAGGATCTAGTAGAAAGCGCGTGAGACGATTGAAGGGCGTGACGAAGTATTTGAACGCGCGCAGTCCTGACCAGAAGACGCCTCTGTCGTAGCGGAACAGATATGACTGAACAGGTACAAGCTCCTTGTGTGTTGTTTTCTCGTTCTGGGCCCGCTTCAGAATGTCCTCTGCATGCATATATAGCCAGGGGTCTGTCGCTTTGTCGAAACTCTGAACCCTTCTATTCATTGGAGCATCATGACCATCCGTCAGGCGACCGATCATAACTACGCCACTCGTCATCGAATACAGGATGCCATCCATGTATTCGACCTCGAGATCGTCTTGGTAGCGTCGGAATTGCTCGACGGCCTCATTGGTTGAGCGAACTGGAATGTACTCCAACTCAACGTAGCGACGTGCGTCAATGAGCTCCATTTTGAGTAGGGTAATGACGCCTAGACTTCCGCAACTCCCTGCTGCTGTGAAGAAGAGATCGCGGTTCTCTTCTGCCGATGCCCATACTACCTCGCCGTTTCCTAGGATGAGCTCAATGCCGGAGATGGTGCGATCGAACAGCCCGTACTTATAGGAGCTGCTCTCGCCGCTTGTACCAGCGAATCTGTCAATCATAGTTAGCAATTTTCCATGCCATGTAATTTGCTCAAACGTCTTTGGCTTTGTGTTTGCCAATGCGAAGCTGAAGCCGTTAAAGGCCTAAAGTGACCACTGGGCTACGTCTTGTTGTTCATCACTCACCCGCCACCGACTGTAATATTCGGGAGCTCCATAACAACTTTCGGTAAGAAACCTCTGGCCATCGTAGCTTCCACAAGTTTATCCATCGGCACGTTCGGCTCCACCAGTACCGTCTTCTCCATCTCATCAAACTGGAGCACATGGTCGAGCGAACTGACATCGATAATCTGATTCCGATCACGAGAGGACTTCCGTGTCGACAGTGTAGAGCCATGGTAAATGCGGAACGGGATCTTCGAAGCACTGAAGCGGGCGACTTGCGATGCCAGCGTCGCTACTGTAGAGTTATGAGTATCCATAGTGTGCGTGTAATGATGGCAATGAGATGTAACGATGCTGTTGGGTGGTCCGAGGATGAAAGGAAGATGGTGTGGCGTTGCTTTTGATGTATACATAAGCTGCAGGGCTGAGCCTTCTCCACTACCCGCCGTTGGATCCTGCTAAAGTCATTATCTGACTATTCGCCCCGGACTAAAAGCCGCGATTGTGTGGGTGTGGGGCGAAGGATCTGTATGCATTCCTCTTCATGGTTTCAGCTATTGTAGATAACCAGGCGACGAGCTGTCATTAATGGTGCTCCAGAGAAGCCATAACCGCGACAGTATGCGCGGCCGTCACCTTCCGCATCTTGGGTGATGGAATCGGGCGCCCCATAGGGACCGGAAGCGCGGAAGACGATCCACTCGCTAAGAACGCTGACGTACGGCGTTCGGGAAGGTTTTTCCACCCCCAAGGTTTTGGCTTGCGCTTTGAATACGAAATACGACTCAAGCAGTAGCTGGCAGTTTTCAGCACACTGTCGCGACCGCGAAAGTAGGAAGGAAAGATCGGCGGTTCGACCTCGTGGATTCGCGGGCAGGCACGCCCGCCACTAGCGCCGCCTTTTCAGCCTCATCTCGCAGCCACACATCACGCAGGAAAGTAACACCAATCGCATCGCTGCAGTCGGCTCCACACCATCTTTCCGATGGACAGTCACCGGGCTACCGTAGAGACAGTACGTTCTCGCATACAGCATTTCTACCACAACAAGACCGCATTTCGAGTTTATCATGGTAGCACGAACAGCACCCGTCACGCTCATTTCGACCGAGATGCCATCGTGGACGTAAGCTCCCTCAATCACGTCCTATCCATCGACAGAGAAAAAAGAACGGCGCTCGTCGAACCAAATGTCCCCATGGACGCTTTGGTCAAGGAAACCATGAAGGCGGGCTTGTTGCCTCCTGTAGTCATGGAGTTCCCCGGCATCACCGTAGGAGGAGGCTTCGTAGGCACAGCAGGAGAAAGTAGCAGTTTCAAGTACGGATTTTTCGACCGCACAGTGCTGAGCGCAGAAGTGGTTTTGGCGGATGGCACGCTTGTTACGGCATCTCAGAACGAGAATCAAGAGCTGTTTGAGGGGTTAAGAGGTAGTTTTGGGACACTCGGTGTGCTGACGCTGGTGGAAATGCAGCTTGTTCCTCTCAGGAAGCTGGTTGAAGTTACCTACCATCCAACCTTTTCCTTTGAGAACGCGACAGATAAGATTCAGTATCATACCACCGACGAAAGGAACGATTACGTTGACGGAGTCTTATTCTCCAAAGGCGCTGGAGTGGTGGTAACAGGGCGCCTCGTTGACAAAGATCGTACGCCTGACTTGCCGATCCAACGCTTCTCTAGACCATGGGACGAGTGGTTCTGGATACGCGCAAAGAAGCTCGCGGGAAAAGGCATCATCACGAAAGAGCTTGTCCCTGTGGAAGACTACCTATTTCGTTATGATCGAGGAGCATTTTGGATGGGAATGTATGCTTACAAGCAGTTCATGGTACCTTTTATGTGGTTCACACGCTTCTTGCTGGACTACTTCATGCACACCAGGATCATGTATCACGCATTACACGTGTCTGGATACACGGACCGCTTTATAATCCACGACATCGCGTTCCCAGCCGCCAACACTGCGTCTTTCTTGCAGTATTCAGATCAAGCCTTCAACATATACCCGATTTGGCTGTGTCCGCTGCGGCAGGATGGTAGAACCTCGATGGGCCATCCCAAGCCGTTCGAAGGCCCTGTCAATGGGAAAGAAACGGGCGTTTACAACGGCAAATACATCAGCGTTGGAATCTGGGGCCCATACTCTTCCAACGAGACCGAGTACGTGCGCGCAAATCGCGAGATCGAAGCAAAGATGCGCGAGCTGGGTGGACTGAAGTGGCTATACAGCCGAGTCTTTTACACCGAAGATGAATGGTGGCATGTCTACGATAAGCGCGAGTATGATGTGCTACGCAGCAAGTACAACGCAGAATCTCTGCCAACGATATGGGACAAGGTCAAAGACCGAGGAAGAAAGGAGGAGTTCGGTCCGGGCCTCAAGGGTATGCTGAAACGCATCGTGAAGAGCAACGCGTTCTTGAGTGGACTTTATGGCATCTACAAGGCGGTTAAAGGTGGAGATTACATGTTGAAGAAGAAGGTTTCTTAGAACCGAGTAGTTAGGAATCAGCTGTGTAGTGCAGACATGTGGTAATGAGCAAGTCTTGAATAGTGCAAAGCCCATAAAGGGTTAGCGGCGTCTTCGGGCTGCCGGCCTCCAGGGCTCGAGGAACATGAACCGAAATCTCATCGCGTTACCACCTCTCTACTACCTCATGCCCCGCCTCTCGGCGAACATCACAATTTGATATATCCTCTCCTCCACCCCTCGATAATGACGTGATTATAATTGCCTTTGGGTTGCGATTGAGCACGGTCGCAATGTCCGTGGTGTTGATCGTTGGACTTGCGCTAAGAATTTGGAATCTTCGGCCTTGAAGGCGCGCCGTGCCCCCTAAACGTCATGGCCCGCTTTGAGACGGCAACGAGGCTTCCGTGGCGATCGCGCATCTTCTTCTAGAAAAGCTATCTCCGGTAGGTGGACGCGGTGGTGTTGTTGCTTACAGATTCGCGTGGTGTCCAGTCACAGTGCAGCACGGTCCCGAGCATTGGTCTGGTTCCGTCCACGCACCTTCATGCAGGTCGTGTACCGTCGCTACCTAGGTACCTACTCCCGAACCACATCACGAGGCTATTGCAAATACAAACGACGATAACTTCGGCTGCAAGAATTCCCTGCGTCTCTGTCAAACTACCGCACAAAAGCACCAGTGGATGGTTCACGTCCATCGCGAAGACGTGCTGCGAAACATTTCCGTGGCCTACTTCACCATCTACGTATGCTATGGACGCGTTCTAGGCGTAGGCAAGGACATTTCAGTGTACCCGCGTACGGTAGCTTCCGTCTATGGTGGCAAGTAGTCCCATTATACAGAAGCTAACGGCTGCCATACTTCATCGATTACCCAATCCAGCCTATGACGCCCCACGGAGTCCCACTAACTACTGGGGTAAAACACCGCGCTCGGCGTGGAACTACTTGCTTTAGCACCCCATAATCTCCTTATTCCGGATGTCGCCTTGCCGGCACTTGACTTAGCTGCAGATTTCGCATGCATATGGTTCCCTCGCGCGTACATTAACTAGACGGCCGATAATCAACTATTGGTTGCACAACGTCAATTCGGATGAATAAACTGTTCGGCAGCGCTATGGAAAGTTCGATCGACGAGTTCGCGCGCGCGCGGATTTGTTGGTAGTGTAAGTATTGGAAGGGTCGTAATGTAAGGGTGCAGCAGCCAGTCGTGGGCCTTCATTACTATATAACGTGGCAGCCACTTTCGGTCGCGTACGAATCACCAGTATTCAGGTCAAGTCTCACTTCAACTCACCATTCTTCCGCACCAAAATGGCTCCACTCACAGCATTGATACCCCTCGCCCTGGCCGGCATTGCTGCCGCCAGGCAATGTTCAAACTTTATGATCCAGACTCCTATCGCCTCGCGACAGGGACAGTTCAAGGAGGTACCAATCGAAGGCAACCTCGACGTCGGCGCATTCGTAGCTAGCTTCAACCAGTTCGGCAAGAACTACAGCGCGGAGCTTCTTGAGGGTTACCAGACCCTTCAAGGTACCTACAACATCTCTGCGCAGTACTGTAAGCCAGCGAGCGGTAGTGGAAACACGATCCAGCTCTTGAGCCACGGTATCGGCTTCGACAAGACCTACTGGGATCTCGAATATGAGAACTATAACTACAGCTACGTCGACGTCGCGTTAGCCGCTGGTTACAGTACTCTCGCGATCGACCGTCTTGGTATCGGTAACTCGTCTCACGGAGACCCTTTCAACGAGTAAGTGACAACACTATAGCAATCGTTGTGTACCACATACTAATCAGACCTTTTCTTCCTTCAGGATCCAAGCACAAGCCGAAGTCGAAGCCCTCAACTCCATCACCACACAGCTGCGCTCCGGCAAGATCCCCGAGATCAGCTGCGCATACGAGAAGGTCATCCACGTCGGCCACTCCTTCGGCAGCGTGCAATCCTACTGGCTTTCCGCCCTCTACCCCGACAACACCGACGGCGTCATCCTCACCGGCTTCTCCGTCGCCGGACAATTCCTCGCTTACATCACCGCCGGATGGAACCTACACAGCGCGCGTCTCAACCAGCCTTTCCGCTTCGGAAACGCATCCAACGACATCATAGAAACCATTGCAAGCAAGTACGATCTAAGCGACAACATCGTCGCCAGTCTCCAGAAGATCCTCGCAGCCGCCGGCGTAGACCTAACCACCGACGAAGTCTGGAACGAGCTCGCAACCACCGAAGTCCTCGACTTGATCAACGGCTACAACAAGACGGTTACCCAATACGACTACCCCGCCGGCTACCTCGCACACTCCGATCTCACTGCCCTGCAATACGCGTTCCTCCAGCCGGGCAACTACGACGTCGGCCTCGCTCTCGTGGCCGAGAAGACTAAGCAGCCCGTCACCACCGGCGAGCTCTTGACTATCGGCGGCTCACCTGGCTCGTCTCCTTTCACTGGACCTGTGCTTGTTATTACTGGTGAGACGGATGTTCCTTTCTGTGGGGGTAATTGTTACGGTCAGCTTATGGGGTCTAACGCTTCCAATATCCCTGAGGGTGTTGGGATGGCGTATCCCAATGCTTCTGCTTTCGAGTCGTACATTCAGCCTAATACTGGGCATGGGTTGAACTTTCACTATAATGCTACGGCTGGGTATCAGGTTATGCAGGATTTCTTGGCTAGTAATGGGCTTGCTGCGGAGTAAGCGTTGTAGGTTGTGTCTTTTGTTGCGTCTATTCTGAGGCTGAGGCTGGGTGCTGGACGGGCATCTCGCAGGTATGATGCTTGCTTTGACTTGGCGCATTAAGGAATGAATACGTATTGTTTGTAATATCATGCACAAGAATTGCCCCTCGAAAGTCCTGCGTGCTTTGATGTGGCTTACTCATGAACGTGCATGTCGGAAGCCATCGTCAGTACCTGAATACGTCTTCCCGCTTTCAAAGCATTGACTAAATGATTTCAAGCAGCAGCGCTTCAGTGCGACCTCGCTTCCACGAAATCTCCGCTTAAGCGTGGTGACCAAATGCTGATGAATAAGCTTGTCATTGCTGACTTTGCAGCTTTGCATGCAGAAAACGCTGGGCATCTCCACACCTGCATGCACGACAGCCTCAAGCGAGACGAACAACCATGGGGGAGATCTCGGAACACCATATCGCACTACTCGTCCTCGCCCATTGCACCACTGATTATCAAAGGCTTATTCAGAACATCGCCGTCGTGTACGACGCCTCAACACCAAGGATCTTGACGATGGCCCGCTTCGCCCATGCACGACATCCTGCCTAGTAGCCATAATACGGGTCACTGTCGTGGCAGTAACCAATACTGAGCCAGACCGTTGGCAAATAATCTGGTTACAGTGTTTGTCATGGCTTTGATAGCATTGCAAACAACAAAATCTCCGGGTCGAGATGGTAGTCTGAAGCTGCACCAATGCAGGACTTGGTTACGTTGCTCCGCGTTAACATGGACCTAAAGCATCTTGTGCGAGAGTGGACTTCCGGGGCCAAGACGTGGCGAGGCACCCGGGCAGCATAGGAGATGCGATAGACCGGGCTTTCAGCGGAATATACGAGTCGAGGTGGATGAGGCTGAAGACTCTGTAGAGGTATAAAGAGGTCTTCCGACTGCTCTCAAGTTACACATCCATTGCAACGCTATCGGATACTTCTCAGACTCCAGAGCATAGCTTGACTCACCGATCGAATCGCCAGTCTTCAAGATGAAGTTCAGTTCCGCCATCGCCCTCGCGGCTCTTACGCTGTTCAACACCGTTCGCGGTGACGGTACGATTGTCCCGCGAGACAAACCTTCCAGCAACTAACACTTCTCAGCTGTACCATGGGAGCGCATCGACAAGGACAAGGCAGTAAGTCACCTTCATACTCCCCGAATGATATCCGCATCTAACGTCCCATGTAGCTCCTCCTCATTCTCGACTTGCAAGTCGGTCTTTTCCAGCTAGCTAGAGACTGGGACCCAACCCTCTACAAGCAAAACATCCTGGCGCACGCCGAATTAGGCAAGGTGTTTGACATACCTGTCATTTTGTCCACGTCTGCGGACCAAGGACCCAATGGGCCTTTGCCAAAAGAGATGCTAGAAATGTATCCAGATGCGCCGCTTATCCGGCGTCAGGGCGAGGTCAGGTAAGTCGTCGTCTTCCTCATCGTTATCACTATACCTTGCATCAACTTACCACAATGCCTACCTGTCGAGGATAACGTTCCTAACGGACTTTCAGCGCCTGGGACAACCCCTCCTTCCGCGCCGCCATCCGCGCCACAAACCGCACGCAAATAATCGTCGGCGGCATCACAACCGACGTCTGCACCACCTTCCTCGCCCTCGCCCTCCGCTCAGAAGGCTACTCCGTCTACGCAAACGTCGAAGCCAGCGGCACCTACACGCAGCTCGTGCGCGACACCGCAAACTTGCGCATGCAAGCCGCGGGTGTGCAACTAGTCTCCCTCTTCTCTATTGTTTGTGACTTGATGCGGGATTGGCGCAATACGCCCGGTGCGAAAGAGCTGCTGCCGTATTTGGACAAGTATTTGCCGGTTTACGGAGCGGTGGCCAGGGGGCATGCGGCGGCGGTGGAGAATGGGACGGTTATTCCCGGGGAGATTGAGCTTATTACGGGGGGGAATGGGACGGTGCTGTTGTAGAGGGTTGGGAGGGGTGAGGCGGTTGACGATGCGCGGGGAGGCGGAGGGTACTGGTGGATGGCGGCCAGGAGGAGTTGACTGAGAGACACATGATGGCTGGTGGAGGGGACTGCGTGCAATGTCAATAGCAATGTAAAATGCGTAAGGGTAATGGAGTTACAGCACTTTGATCGTGTGGATGTTTGTGACGCTCTGGTGGGTTAACATTGATACGGCAGTTCTTGGCGAGACCAAGGGCAAGCCGACGCGAAGACACCTGGGCATCTGAGAGCCTATCTGTCACTGTCTTCCTCAACACCAAAAGAAGCGACCACACACACTTGAATCTACAGGACTCGCCGCCGCCTTGCCATAGATCGCGGCATGCTTTGTGATATGAGCAACGCGTAGCATGAAGACAATTTGCCTATACTCCCACACGCCATGCAACCGCTGCCTTCAAATCCTACAATAGGACCTTCGAGCTATGCATCCCACATAAGTAAATAAGACAAGGGTTATATGAACAAGGGTAATTCCTGGAGATTGCATTCCAAGGTAGGAGCGATATGGATTATGGGACGCATTTGATATGCTTCTTGGCTTGGTATATGTCGGTCTTGCCTGATTCACAAATAGAGTCAACTCCGACCGAAGCACAGTACTCGTTACCTCGAAGGTGTCTTAGCAGTCTGTGCTTGTACTTACCTTTGCTCCACGTATAGCTTTCTCGAAACCATCGCCAGAAGACGCCCGCTCAATCCTTACCAAGAACAGCCATCGCTATCATTCCATCCGTCATTTACCTGTAAAGGCCGATCATGTCCCCCTCCGCGCACGTCGCGTCCTCGCCGATTGATCAGGAACGCCGTGATGCGGCTGAATATATGCCAGACATTCCTCCCTCACTCGCCGTGTGGCTCATGCTGCGTACAAGGCCCGTCAGCAGACACGGTTTGGTGGGCTACAACAAGCACTGCATGGTCTGTGAGCAGTTCGTGTGCAATTTCTGGACCGAAGTCTGCGGCTTCGCAGTAGAGTGGTACACGAAGGAGGAGGCGAAGAAGAAGCTGGCGACATTGCCACCACAGCCATATCTCCGACGGAGACTTTCAGAAGACTCAGTCGAAAGATTGGCCCGTACACTGCAGCAGTCAGCCGTGCAACCACCGATGAATTGCCTACCACCGAATCCTCAGGTATCGAATATAAGCGCGCAGCTTGCACAAATACAACCCTCGATTCGTCCTTACCAACCTCGCATCACAACGAAAGGCACACCGCCGAGATATTGCAGATGGGATGAAACTAATGTACACACATGCTGCAGCCCCGCGGGCAGTTGTAAAGTCGCAGTCCAGATTCTTACCCCCGGATGTCGACATATCATCGGTCAAGATTGTCTCCTTCAATGGATTGTAGCGGGAAAGAACTGGTGTCGGTTTTGCGGCACGATTTGGTTCAAAGAAGAAAACAACAAGATCAAAAGAATGGCGCTTTTGAAAGAATGTTATCAGGGAAGGGCGGATCACGTCGAGCTTTGGGGCGCCAGATTTGAAACAGAATATTGCCAACAGATCGCGACGCAACATGGAGCTGTAGGAGAGGGCGAATGGAAAGGTATCCTTACCAGAGAGTTGGAGCGGATGATACTGGGACAGTGCGGAGACCAAAAAGATTTAGACTCCATGAGAAGGGAGATACTGAAGATAGATCCAAGCTTTGTGGATACCTGGGATAAGCTGAAAAGGGATCTAGAGGAACAGTGCTGTCGCGACGCGATATCACCATGGACCGTCGACGAGTACTCACTTTGGGACCCGTATCAAACATCGAGCAAGCCTAAAGGAATTGGAATTCCCTGTCGGAGGACTAACCGCGCTCCTACAAGGGCACCAGCCAGTCCGAGCCTCTACAGCGAGATCTATTTTTCATAAGACAATGGTTCCGTCGCTAAGATACCAAAAAGTCTGACCATTTCCACTCTCATGACTCCACTTCTTCCGTGATCCTCGTTCAAGAGAACTCCAACATGGAATTCAGCGATATGATATCAACCGCGGTTATACAGACCCACCATTGTGAAACAGCACATGCAGCAACCCTGATCTCTATCACTCACAAGCTTTCCGCGGCATTTCTTAGCACATGGAGATCCGTTTCGGAAGCTCAAGCCAGGCGTTTCGTGAGAAAAAAAGGTAATTCACAACTCCAACTGTTTGGCCCTCCGCCCCGCTGTCGCGCAAGAGAGTTGCTGTATGCTTAAGTAGCGGCGCGCGGAGGGGAACGCCGTGTTCGATAGTCCACGGTTATCTGACATGACAGCTGAGACCCCCAAACTCTAAGCAATCAGCTGTACGAGTAACACAAACGCAAACCGGAAGGTGAGTCGGTGTCTCTTGTACCACCTCACGAAACTGTTCCGGTCCAGAGCCCTCCAGAGCGCTCGCGCTCACACTTACCAAGGCCAGGAAAGGACCCGCGTACTATACGATGGTATTACCAGTACCTGCTTGGCGACGAGAAAAAAAAGAAAGAATATTAATAGCTCAAAGCCGTGGGGAAGGACCGAGAAGATGTTTATCGTCGTTCTGGTTCTAGCCTCAGGTACGACTCGGGAGGATGCCGACGAGAGAAAGGAAAAATAGATGTCGCTATGGCTGGAAGAGGGTTGGTGTACTGGATGTGGACGTCCGTGTGTCGAGAGTAACGTTTCGCAGTCCGTTTTCGAGGGTGGAGCCCCCTGTCTGTGAGTGCGGTACCCGGAGTGAGGTCCGCATCGTGACAGAGGACGGAAGTTGCAAACGAAGTGAAGTCATCGCTGGAGTGTGCAACACGCACAGAAACTGAGATGAACACCATCTCCAGCATCAACCTTCTAACGAAGCAAAAGTGACGATGCTCGTCTGTGGGGACGCCGCTAGCCCATAACGCGGTTCCCAGCTGCGCCTCCAGCAGCCAGTGCACCAATGACCTTTGCAATCTAACCCACACTTTCCACAAAACACTAACTTCCCATCAAGCTCACCCATCTTATCTTAATGTGCTCACAGAAAACCCGCCCGTTCACCTAACTGCCCACACGAGCGCTCATCTCGGCTAAAGCTACAGCAAAAAGGCGCAGCCCGGCGTGGCCGCTGACTCTAGAACCCGGTCTCTGCGTTCCCGCTTAGACCCCGGCGAGATGCTACTGTGCGAAACGGCCGGCTGTGGTGTGGGCGTAGCTGATACAACAGCTGCGCTGAACACAAAATGGGCAGAGAGGGCGGGGGGATTTTGTTTTCGCATATAGACTGGGGCTGCTGCTGCGCGCATTTGGGATTTCACCTGTTCACCATTTCGAGTAATCTAATCAATCCATCCATCGACGATTCGCTTGTCGCATAGCCATTGCATAGCATCATCATCCTTCATAAGCACCACCACCACCAACACCACACTCCCCTACCCATCACCCACCTTATCTCCATCAGCCGCATTCCATCAGGCCGCCAGATTACGCACCCAACCTGACGCACCAGCAATTCCACTTGCTTATCACCAAACACATCCGCTTACTTAGGTGTGCAAGGCCCAGTCCTTGGTTAGGTATGTCATCTTGGTAAAAGTATGCCCGAAAACCATTACTAACGGACCGACCAGCAAGGCGTATCCCAGCGTTACTGCGCCTCTTCCCCTCACCTTGGTACAGACGTAACGGCGCGTGGCTTTGTTGAAAACCAAGAGAAAACTTACACTTATAATCGTCGTGTCTCTCGTCTCTTAACGGGAGAAAAGACGCTGTAATCACCACACACGACCATGTTGGCCAAAATCTCCACCTCGCTGGTTGCGACTCTGCTGCTCTCATCGACAACATTAGCTGCGCCTACACAAACACATTGCCACTGCGAAATCGTCGCTGATATGCCGTCATCCTCCGTCCCCGCTTCAGCTGCCTACACCCCCTCCGCTGCACATTGGTCACCAGCAGACCCTTCACAAAGCCCCGTCGCAGCACTCAATGTATGCGCAAGCCTAGGATCCGAATTACAGAAACTACAGCACACAGAACCAGAGCTGTACGACTCGTACATGGCGGGTGCTATCGAGGATGCAGCGGAGAAGCCGGTTCCGACTGCGGTGTTGATGAGCGGTCATGCAGAGGGAGAGTCAGCGGAGAGAACGCATAGGAGGATTGTGTGTCATGAGGAATCGAGGTTGGCTACGCCAGAGTTCCAGAGCTCGTTTGTGGGGCTGTGGGCGCTGCAGATGATTGTTGTGGTTGCGATATTGGCGTGTGTGGCTGAGGGGTTGCATTTGGGTAAACAATGGTAAGAACACCTTTTCCCCCCTTAGCTATCCGCCAAATACTAACGACATCCCTAGGATGAAAAACAACAGCTCTCCAGAGCCAGTATCCGAGAAGAGCAGCCTGCGCTTGACGGGTGCAGAAAGGCGTCTCCTAGCCATCCCCACCGGACCCCAGGAGACAGATTCCGTGTTCAGCCCCGGCGCAGAGAAGAAGCTCCGAGCGTACGAGACGACACGGTACTTTGTCACGCAGGCATCGAGTGGACGGCGTGAGTTCATTGCGTATGATGATGATAGCGATGATGAGGCGAATAGGCCTGTGATGTAGTGTTACCCACATCACGGGCTTTGATTGAATGAATGTATTATGTTCCACCCTTCCACTACCTCTCCACCGTGCATGCATGTTCCAGCGATGCGAAGGCGTTGTGGTAATGTGGTTCGGTGCTACAACATTTCGTCCAAGCAAACCACTACGCCTTATCTTTGCCCGCATGTCATGGGGTTTCACCCACCATGACACTTGCGCAAACCAACGTCGGGCCTACAACACACCCGGCACCTCGTGGTTTTACCCACGAGTACAAACAACAGTGTCCGTGATACACAGCGCCGATGTCTTGTCCCCCATCGTCCCTCCTTCCTCTTTCGTCCCTACCACCACCCTCCATGAAGGTATCGTACAACAAAACCCGCGATGAAACATCACGTAACAAAAAGAGCAAACGCTCGACAGAACAGTAAAGCAAATGGGTATCGTGAAGCAAGAACAGGAACGCTAAAGCAAGCAGTCTACATACAAGTCACCCGAACTCTGCATCGATCCAATCGTGGCAGGGTGCAAACAGTCGAGCCGGCCAAGGTAGTGGGCGCAAGGATGCATGGCCGCTGTTGGACGAAAGTGTCGCGATCGGGAGAAAAACACATGGAAGCATCCAGTCATACCTACCGGGAAAGGGAAGGAAGATAATATACAAACAACCGGGGGGTATCGCAAGGGTAAAAGAGGAATTAGTTGTTGTTGCTTGGTAAAAGATAATTGTCGCATGGAAAGATTAGGTGTCGCTCGGGTTGTCGCTATGGGCATCTCGATAGATGTCATGATTAAGCGGAACTGGGAGTCCTGGTATGGGTCCAGATACCGGTAGTAGTACAAGTCATCGAGACAGGTCATCGCAGTGGGCTGATTCGCAGCTGGGGAGGGTATCGTAATGGGAACAAGGTCGCAGAAGGGGATGTAGTCGTTGGCAGAGCATTCCAGATGGGTGCCAGGAATTAAAGGTAGGCTTTATCGCAGTAGGCAATGGGATTGGTCGCTAGGGTATCGCGCGGGGTATCGTGGTCGTATTATGGTATAGTGTCGCGGTAGGCCAGGGGGGTCCACATTTCACATCACCGGGATGCTGAGAACCGAGGAGGTCTAGGTGGAAGCCGTACATTAGATGTTCGTATCGAGGACAGTACTGTGGATACAGTCGTACAGGGGAGGACCAGAACATGGTCTCCAGGAAGGGCGCGCTAATAAGAAATAGGAACAGGATGTCGAACGCCGTAGAGAAATGCCGTATCCAGGAAAAGCGCTAATGTCATGTCGTAAATGTATCGTAGAAAGGACAGGTTTTTGGTTGAGGGGAGCCGCGAGGTTCCGCCCCATGGTCGGTAGAGGTCGACGAGGTTGGTTCACATGATGGTGTGGTAGCCCTTATCGTTCATGACGTCAATCCAGAACGCGTCTTGGCCCTCGTCAGACTGGCGCCAGGTCTCCTTGATGAGCTGGATCATCTTGCGAAGAGGCTTGTTGGGAAGCCTAAGAGCGAACTCTTGCAAGCGCCTGATGACGAACTCACGAGCGGCGACGACCTCTGCGTCGTTGGCCTGCACGTCGAAGAAGTCAATCGATGAGACGAACTTCAACTCAGAGGCACACACAACTAGCAGAAGCGGCTGGATGCAGAATGTACCAGACGAGGAAGGCAGAGACTCGAGTGACCGGATGATGTGCATGGCAAGTGAGTTGAGCCACAGCTTGATGTCGGTAGCCTCGTAGACTGTCTCGAATCGCGGCGTAGGGAAGGCGAACTCGATGTTCTCGCTACCCTTGGTCTTGCCGGATCCCAAGCGCTTGCGCAGGATGGAAGGGAAGACACGGTAGATCTCCAGCAAGCCAGACAGACGGTAGGCCTCGGCGATGGTGACGAAGTGTTCCTTGGGGGTACGCTCATCACCAGTGTCGATGACCTGATCGACGGATGGGTAGTCAACAGCTAGGAGGTCCTCTTCCAGTGAGGCGGCGTTCTGAAGGTTCTCTTGACGTCGGCGGAGGTCCATGGAGTTTTCGCGGTCCATCGAACGCTCCTTGCGAACTAGACGACCAACCTCGGCGAACAGGAAGTGGATCATCGGGGCGATGCCTGTCCAGGGATGAGGGACTGTCTTTCCTTGGGGCCCACGCGCAGCAGGAGTGTTCGTCCTGGCGGCGATGCGAGGTCGCAATCCTGACTTGGGCGAGAAGCTCATGGCATCTTCTGTTACGAAGCCCATGAGCATCTCCCAGTGGATCAAAGACTCCTCGAAGAACTGTGCCTCGCGCTCGACCTCAATGCCGCCCGACCTACTGAAGAGCTTGGGGAGGATGAGGTCTCGCGCGATAGACAAGTACTCGAGTCCGAGCGCGTTGCTGTCGTGCCACGAGGTGGTGAGACCAAGTAGCATGATGCTCAAGAACGTCTTGGTCGCGCTCGTGTGATCCCTCTGGGCAAGCGGAAGCTCCAGCTCCAGTGCCTCGCGTGCCTTGCGCTGTAGCTCAAGGCCGGTTGCCGCCATATTGGGGAATGTGTTGGCAAGATGTGCGGCAGCCATGGATTGGATCGCGTAATTAATGGAAGGGCAGTCCTTGTAGATGCGGCCAATGGTAGTCCGGAAAGGGTTAAGAACAGAATCGAAAGAAGAAAACACAGCGCAGACGTCCTTGAAGTAGTGCTGGACGAGCAGTGACTCCACATCATCCGGAGAGGATGGGTCTGGAGAAGGACTTGGAAGACGATACAAGTCAAGAAGCAACGATCGCGAGAGCCTGGGGCTAGACTCTCGGTTCTGTTCCCGGTCCATAACAGGTAACGAAGTAGAATTCATGTCTTGCTTCTGTGAAAGGTCTTGCATGTCGAATTGAAGGTCCTCCAGTGAGCCAGAGTCGAAGTCGATGTTGTCGAATGGATCAAAGTTGAAGTCTTCGTTGGGCATTTGGATAGCGTCAACGAATCCGTCAAGCATGATGGGATCCATGTTGTTGACATCCTCCATGGGGAAAGGCTCGTATTCACGAGGGGAGTCACCATCCTCGGTAGAAGACTCTTGTATTGAGGCTGGTTCCTCGAAGCTTGGTGGGGACGGGACTGCTGATGAGGCCTGTGTTGTCAAGGGTTGTTGTGTGGGAGGGGAGTTCTTCCTGCCTGCAGGGAGGACAGCAGCCAACGCAGCCTCGATACCACTGGCGACGTTCTGGGGAAGGGGTGACTTCGCCGCGGGTGAAGTGGTAGAGGTGGCGTCGGGTGTTGACCTGGGTCTAGGGGACGCCGACTTGGACTGGGCGGGGTTGAAGACTTCGTACTTTGTCGACCACTTCAGAGTCTTCTCGTAGCCAGGACACGCGACGTTCCTTTTCTTGCACTGCAAGCAACCAGGAGCGGTCTCGTCACATTTGAGCTTTGTTTCTGTCAGCAAGTGGGCCAGTGCAGTAGGCGCAATTGTTGGACTTTACCCTCTTGAGTTTGCATCGACCACATCCGTTCCTGGACTTGGTCTTCTTAGCCTTCAGATCTCTCGCCAAAACCTTGTCTTGAGCCAATGCGGGCATCTTGAGTATCAGGGTAGGGTAGACTTGGTTGGAGGGGGGCGAGGTCTGGGAATGTCGAACGACAATGGGGTGAGAATCCCGGTGCGAAGTAATAGGACTTAAGATGCGGATCCAGTGAATGCGGATACGACGCTTCAAATGCGCGTGACGGGTCAGTGACACAGCCGATGGTTCCCTTCGCCTATCATTAGACCGGTGTGGGCCAAGATAGCAGCTGATAAAAACATGTCGCTGGTGTGGTTGATGCAGGGTGTCTGAGCCTGGATGCCGAGCTTCGGCCTTTCCACAACCCAGCTTTCCCCGAAGTATCCATATCGTGCATCAGCGCGCGGCTGATTGGCCAGCCACCGCAGTCGAGCGTCGCATTTTCGCTCTTTAAACCCCTCTATGGGAGGACGCCCGCTCAGCGGAAAAGTTGGACACGCGATTGATAGATTATCCGCATCGTCTGAAACCATCATCGGTGGCGGGCTCGTAAAGAAGGTTATAGCCAAAAAAGCATCATGAGGATGTTGAGAGTCTGGAGATAAGGCAGATCAACGGCTACCCCACAATCATCCAGAAGTGGGATGAAAGAAGTGGATTTGATAACTATGTATAGTTAGCGCATGCCCTTAGCGCCGCTAGTAGCATCATCTTGCTTCACGATAACCTCAGCCCAAGATAAAGCCACGTCTGCACGCATGCCCCATGACGATGTCGGAGCGTCAACCAACGCAGCGTCCAGGCCTGCTCATATCAGCGCATGCAGTTATCGGCATGACTCTCTGAAAAACCGACTCTGAGCGACCGCCTCGAACGAAGCGACCTATCACATGAGCTTCGCAAGGTCCTCGTAACACGGTATAAGCCATGAAGACATAGGAACCGTTATCTTCTACGAGGCGGCTCTGCTTCGATCGGCAGTTACCAAAGGCGCTACTGCACTGCTTGTCTCGCGCTGCCCTTGCTAAGCAGTGCCATGCCACCGGGCCTGGTCAAGCAATTGGCTGTCGCTAGTGGCATCGAGACGAGGCACACGTCGAACTTCCGTAGAGGCTGGACGCCAACATCCTCCCAGCGCATGGCTACCCCGCAAACTCAATACGAGAAGACGTAAGAACAACAACCGTGACACCGCTGAAATTCTGGGGTAAGAATCCGGGGCCGATGCATCCAAAAGTGCGCGATGTGTAATGCCAAGCTCAAGACCGCGACTTCACATCTGGGGAAACACGCTGGAGCTAGGAGAAGATACGATGTCGGAGATACACGCAGTGGGTGGACCGTTCACCGACAGGCGACAGGGCCTATCCCGACGGAAAATTCTTCACGAACACCACCACCATCGGAAAGTTCAACGGCTGCTGTTTTCCGCCACCACACGACTCCACATTGCGAATGCGAACGACAGCACGGAATGTAATCCGAACAAAATTTCGATGAGAATGCGATAAGCCTAGAATGCCACTACTGCGCGTCTACTGTACGACATCGATGAGTTTAATCGTAGTGGCTCAACCTTGACTGCTGTCAAAGAGTGCCCCCTTGATCCCGGTTTGGCGTCAACTTTGGAAGTCCGGATAGCCTCCTCACGTGGTACTTTCACCGCCCCATTACAACATGACAACGCGCTCATGTGTATGACTGAAAGTAATCCTCACGTCAAATTAAGATTACACGTCACATACGAATGATGGAGTCACTCACAGCCAACACGTGCACTTGCATTACCACAACCTTGGAACCCACTTGCATTTCTGGAACTCTCCGGATTTGAAGGCGACCTTTGATCCCCCAAGCCTTCTCAACATCAGGATTACGACGAATACCGAGATATTACACCTTTTTGCCTCCTGACGAACTCTAAATGGAGTTCATTGAGATCAAAATGAGATGATCCATCAATACGGCAACGTAAGATGATCAGGATCATGTGTCCTCCAAGCCAAGAAGAAGAAGACAGTGCATCTTTGAGTAAGCCCGGGACATGGTCTTGGTCCGCGCGGATCACCACAACCCTATCTTGATATGCATGCAGAATGATAGTGATAGTTTCGGGGTAACATGTGTCTTTCATACACTCTTGTAACACACCCACAAAGCATACATACTTTTCTGTCCCTTCCCCCAAGCCTGCATCAAACCAGTAACACTGCCTTTGCCTCGTTCACGCCGCAGCTTCCCTCCCCGAAATGCAGAGGCAGTCAGTATGCCCCACACTGAGACATGAGCGTAGAAGAAGGAAACGTGCAATCCATGTATCCAACCAAGGGGCCCTTCCACTGCTCTACTACATATTAAGTCATAGGCCCTACTTCGGTTCTCTCCTTCGCTTCCTTATCAACAAGAGCAAGCACCCAGCCAAGCTCACCTACTGCTCGACAATACAATCAACCAGGCTGCTCGCGCGAAAGGATAAGAAGTAAGGAGGAAACGAACATCTTTCATTTCGAATTTCACAGGGTCATATGGTGGTAAAGGATAAAGGTGCAAATACCATGGGACGTTAGGATAACTCAGCTGCAACCAGCGAGAAAATAGAGATCCAACCACGTTCACACCACAACACGCCTTCCCGCCTCGCAACACGATCCGCCCCGTCTATAATAGCCGTACCCAAGACCAGCCTTCTTCACTCTAGGCACGCTGTAGTATACATAGCGATCGGACGGTTGAAGGGTGTGTGGGTGGACAGGGCAACATCTTGGATAACAAGTCGGACAGGGCATCTAGGAATTCTCCCGAGAGAGGACGGCATACTACAGCGGAGAGGACACTGCACCGTGACCAAGCCACATGAACTTTGTTTTATGTTTTCAAAGAATTCTTGGTATTGGTATTCTGCTACTGACACAATATCTGCTCCTCCTCTTCTCCTCTCAGCAATCCAATCCAACCCCCACACTTCCCCTCCCGCAAACGGTCAAAACCTATGTACACCTCGCAAACCCTCCTCTTTCCACATCCCCACCCACTCACTCATCGTGTTGTTCCCCAAGATAAAATCCGCCCACCTAGGGCTAATCGTATATCCAACCCTTTCGCAACCCAAACCAAGCCAACAAGTATCCTCAGAAGAAGTAAAAAGAAAGAGAAAAAGAGAAAAGGGCGCTCATATGTATTCATGAAAACCGCGCCCAGAAACAACCAGGAGAATCGACAAGAAACAGCAAGAAACGGGAAAAGTAGAAAGTGCAAAGGGAAATGGCTGGGTATCCGCTACCATGAGTACAGATGAAGCTCAGGACGGCGGCGGAGAGGCTGTCAGATGGGAAACATCTCTTTCGATGTGAGTCTGATTTGAAGTGATCCGATCCGATCCGATCCGGTCCAGCGGAGTTCCAGAAAAAAAAAAGCTTAAGACAGCAACAGCGGCATGTCGACAAGAAACAAGCTCGCCAGACTAGAAATTAAGGTATGCTCAACGGGGCTTCCCTCGACAGAACGGGCCTTGTGTGTTTCGTTCGTTCGGTTCGAGGCGGAAGATGCAAAACGAAAAGGTTTTTTGTACACTTTGCCTGGCAGAGAAAAGAACAGGGAGATGGGAAAAGATCGAACTCCATCTCTTTGGAAAGAAAAGCCTCGATTACCGCTGGATGATTCACAAAAACCATCCCTACATGGCATTAGCGCCCGGGTATCTCGATTGATTCGAAAGTCCAGGACCAGGACCCATCATAGTAGCCGGCGGCATGCCCATGCCACCACCTCTCCCCCTACCACCCATGGGCCCACCGCGACCTCGTCCGCGACCGCGACCTGCGCCCGGAATCGCAAAATCGGGATTCGCGGCGTTGGCTTCGAGGATGACGTCTTCCTGACGCATGGGTCTGCGCGGGGGCCCAGGAGCGAAAGGCGCGAATTGGCCGGCTGGGGCACCCATTTCGGGGCGCCAGTTGGGGTTGACGGGGCGTTGGGAGACGGATGTGAAGTGTGAGGCTTCGCTTGCGGCGGGCGAGCGCGCGCCTTCTGGGAGGTCGTCGTAGGAACTGTTGCGGGGGAGGTTTGTGTCGCTTCCGTTGCCTGTGGAGAGGAAGTTGGGGTTTGGCGGGGCGAAGCCGCCGGGCATGAGGGAGCTTGGTAGTGGTGGAGGTGCTTGGGCTTGTGAGGGCTCTGCGAACCTGGGGTCTACGTCTTCGTAGTAGTCTGAACTGCGCTCTACCCTGTTAGGGCCTCCAATGTGAGATATGTGAGCGGGCATTTCGACAGGTGAGTCTTGGATTGGCGATAGCCCACGGCTACTGTTGTTTAGTGTGTTGAGTGATTGGTCTGACGGGACCTGTTGTTGGTTCCACCCCGCTCGTACTGGCATGTATTGCTGCTGTTGCTGTGGCATAGGCGGTTGTTGTTGGTGTTGTAGAGGCTGCGGTCGTAACGCCGACTCACTGTTCAGGGTCAGCAAGAAACATGAAGGGAAGTTTGACAAAACTTACTCTGTGGAATACTCGCTCGTCGGGCTCATGACGCCATCCGATGGCCGCCTCTGTGGCGCACCAGCAGGGAATCCACCTTGCTGGAGAGCAAGCATGCCTGCAACATCACCGTCGCTTTCCCTAAGCCCGAAGTTTGTTGGAGGCGTGCCTGTGCGGTTGTCCATTTCGATGGCTTGTCCAATCGGCAGCGGTGGCCCCTGACCAGGCGGTGGTCCTCTGCCATATGGTGACTGTTCGCGGGGCGGTGGCCCTTGGTTGTAGAAGTTGCCGTTGTTGTATCCCGGAGGAGGCGCTCCTCGACCCATTGGCGGCTGGCCTTGCATTGGAGGTCCATTCGGAGGTCGTCCGCCTCGTCCACCACCGTTCCATCCCGGCGGCGGAGGTCCGCGCATACCTCCTCTTGGTCCGTAGCCTCCTCCTCTCGGGCCGCCATACTGTCCACCTCTTGGTGGGCCTCCTCGACCCCTCATCGGACCTCCTCTTCCACGGGGCGCGCCATTCATCATGGCGTATTGGTCGTTTGGCATGGGTGGCACGGGGTTGCCATACTGATCCATGGGCTGTCGACGACCTGAGGGACCGCGGTTCGGTGGGTTCATGTTCTCCGAGCCGTTTCCTCCACTGCTGACTGTCTTGAGCGAAGGATTGCGCTGGTTAAGCGGCGTCATGTCGTCGGTCGGCGATGGCTTGGAGTGGTCGAAGTAGGCTGCATTACCGTCCCTGCCTCCTGAGGTCATTGTTTCTCCAGACAGCGGAGGCGGTGACTCGGCCTTAGGGAACTCTGAAGCCACAGTCGCATTGGCGCGGTTCGCATAGTAGGTCTGGCCGTTCATCTCATCGTTCTCGGCAATGCGCCTCTTACGCGCCTTGCGACTGACCAGTGTGCGCCTCATAGCGCAGGTAACGATACCACTTGCGACGATAATGATGGTAGCACCTAGAACGATCCATCCTCCCCAGCCCACATGCGGCACAAACAGCAGGATATCGACGAGAAAAGCGAGCAGCGAGACCAGCAGAGTCGGGAACGTGAATATGAGCAGGGCGAGGAGGTAGCGCGGCGAGTGGGCGGGCGAGTGAAAGTGGGCAGCGACGGAGAGACCGAAGCAAATCAGCGTCATGAGAGCAGCGACGGGGTGCACGATGAGAATGGAGGAAAGCGCATGGCGCTGGGCGGAGGGGAGCGAGAAGTCAGAGCTGTCTTCGCCTGCGAACAGTTTCTCTGTTTGAACAATTAGCACCATGGCCGTCGTATGTGATACAGGGCGCCATACCAGTGTTGTACCCGATCATGGGCCCTTTGCAGCCTTGGTCGCCATTCTCGCAGTAGCCGAGGACGCCAAAGTGGACGCCGCGGTAGGTAGCGAGGGGAATGCTCTTGATCAGCGGCGTGGAGAGCGTCGAGAGCAGCAGCAGCACAAAGGCGACGAAGAATAGTATCGATAAGGGGGTCGCAGGGCGCAACATGTTGGCGAAGAATAACGGAGGCTACCGCGTGGGATTCCGGCTCGCCAGAGACCGGCTCTCGAGAGTCGACGGCGTGGTGTTGGGGCGGGCGATCGGACGTGTGCGCGACGGTGGTGAAGGTGCAGACGGTCCGCAGTCTCGTAACAGTGGGCGCAGTCGTAAACGTGCCTAAGCGCACTCTTGCCCTGACGTGAAACGAGTGACGATCGAGGTTACACCAGTTATGCCTGTTGGGTCATTGATGCCTCGACGGAGCTTGAGCGTGCGCGACGACGGCTGGACACGCGATGAGGCGCTCGAGGGGGCAGGCGCTGGCTGTTGGGGGTTGCGGGGAAGCGTGGTAGGCTTGGGACACGCCTGGAGGAGGTGGGCGGAGGGCTGGAAGGAGCGACGGTGCAGCAACAGGAAAGAGCGGACGCGCAGCCAATCAGCGGCGTGAATGGCGCAAGGTATAGCGAACGTTGGAACTATGCCGGCTAGTCGCTGCAGTAACTTGGTATCGACGCGGGACCCTATCGAGCCGTTGACGTTCTCCCAGACGTCTAAGCTGTCGCGCTGTGAATGAATGTAGCGTGTCGGACGACCCCCGGCGGCAGTATTTTGGCGGGTAGCCCCGTTGTCGCGCCCCTTGCCCTCGCAGCAGGCCCGTCTTACCTGCGACTTTGCTTTGTGTTCGGAGCATCAGTCGGAGTCGCACGCGTCCACGCTGCTCTCCCGCCCCAGTTTGGCAGGGATATCTATCGTCTCATTTCGCGTACCCGCACGGCCCACCATCCAGGCACTGAGAACACCGTTGCTCTGCTGCGTGCTTCAGACGAGACCGCTGAAACACAGACCCTTTCTTCTTCCTGGTCCTGAGGCAGCGCAGCGACTGTCGACACCAGCCATCGTGGTCGCCATCTACTTCGACGACGGCGCAGGCCTCGCCTGGTAAATACACAGCAATGCGTCATCGCCTCGAAACAGGGCACGAAATAGCGCCCTCCTATCAACTGCAGCCAGATCCCGGAAATGGATCAGGCCAGCGCCACCAACCTATATCACCTCACCTATCGCATTCCACGCGAGATGCTCTTTGTTTGAGCCTTCCCGCCTATATCTCCCACACTACAGATCCACTCGACCCGTTGCACAGCCCGCACGGCTCCACGCTGTCGCACGTCCATTGAACATTCAAAGCATTCCATGTTTGGGCAAGACTGAAGTGTTTATTTGCTTGATTCTCAGACCTCACATGGTATTCGTATGATATGCAGAGACTCCAGATCCGATCAACCTCCCCACAAGTGATCATGAACGCCTGAATTTTGGGATCGAGTCCTGCACCTATCTTCATGAACTCATGGGTACTTCATATCCTAACCTACACTACGCCAGCGTCACGCTTAGTGAGCAATGGCGTACGCCCTGCGGCGGTCACGCTCCTCAGCAATGGAGAGCTTGACACCCTTACCCTTGGGCAGAGAGATCCATGGCTTCTCCTTTCCGATGATGCTGAACGCACGTTAGTAGTTGTCCTCGTCCTATGCGGATATCCAACTTACATGACGTTGGACTCACGAGTGGTGAACTCGTTGTCAACAGCGTCCTTCAAGTGGACAATGTTGAAGCCTCCGTCGTGGCGCTCACGGTGGGTGATGACACCGACACGACCCATGTTACGACCACCGGTAACCATGACAATGACACCAGTGTCGAACTTGATGAAGTCGGAGATCTTGCCAGTGGCGAGGTCGACCTTGACGGTGTCGTTGACCTTGATGGCTGGGTCGGGGTAGCGGATTCTACACAAAATTTTAGCAGCAATTCGGACATAGCCAGACCCTGGTCGTATGCCTGGTGAAAGAGGTTTCCCTCAGACACCTAGCCCAAACTGTGGTCCAACGGCTGATAGAGCGGGAACTTACGTTCGCGCATCGTGCGTAACCAAGTAGGGAATTCCGCCCTTGCCAAGCTGGACGCGCTTGACCTTGCCGAGCTTGTATTGTGCCTCCTCGTCTGTTATCCTGTGGACGGTGAAGCGGCCCTTGGTGTCGTAGATCAGGCGGAAGTTCTCGCCGGTCTTCTCGATGGAGATGACGTCCATCAGTCCCGAGGGGAAGGTGGAGTCGGTGCGGACCTTGCCGTCGACCTTGACGAGGCGCTGCATGAGAATGGCGTTGACCTCGCGGGCGTTGAGCGCATACTTCAAGCGGTTGCGGAGGAAGATGATGAGGGGAAGGGAGTCGCGAAGCTTGTGAGGACCGGGGGAGGCCTTGGGAGCATAGGCACCTGGAAGATGTCAGTTCTGGTGTCGCGATAGCCATTGCGTCGCAGATTGCGGGAGTCGAGCGTACCGGACAGCTTGTCCAGGAGCCAGTGCGAGGGCGCGCTGAGGCGCTTCTGGTGCTTGACGGGTCCACGGGCCATTGTGACGGTTCTGTGAGGTTAGTCGTTGAGATTGGAGGTCCTGTCGAAAGCGAAGTTCGAGAGACTGGAGTCCTCATTTTTCGTCTGCCACTAGCGTGTGCCGTAGCCGAGGACTAGCGCGCCAAGACCAATGCTGATGCCCCATCTCAAGCAAGGGGAACTCAACATCTCGGAGCCCAGGTGCGTACTTTCATGTCAAATCATCTATTCTGCTTGTTTTATCATGGGATGAAAGATGCAGACTAGAAATCCTCGCGTCAATGTAGGATTCAGGGTGTGATCAGAACAGCACCATGGAGTTTTCTCACATCACAATCAACGAGCACTCAATCGCCAAACCGTCTCTAGACTCCAAATGTATGCAGCTGATCATTTTCTTGCATCTGACTTGTATTCCTGTCCTCAACCCTAAGCATACCCCTTCAGCACCGCCGCCTCCGCGTTCAATATCGACGACCCCGCCGCTCCAATCACAGCTACAATCAATTAGCAATCGCCCAACCCCTCGCAATCCCAAGTCAAACTTACTGTTGTGGCTCAAAGCAACGAACTTGAGATCGAAAATACCCGCCTCGTCCTCTCTTATCCTACCCACACTAACCGCATACCCCCTATCCGTCTCCCTGTCCAGCCTTGGTTGAGGTCTATCGGCCTCCTCCATAACCACAATCGCCTTCGCGGGCGCAGACGGGCAACCCAGCTTCTGTGCATCAGACACGTACTCGCGCATTGCCTGCTTGACTTCTTCCGCGCTCGGTGGCGGGCGGCGTTGGAAGCGCAGCGATACGCATGCGGTGTGGCCGTCTAGTACCGGCACGCGGTTGCACGCCGCAGACACCTTCATGGGCTGATCTACGAATCCTGTAACGTCGTCGTTGACGCTACCCAGGATCTTAGATGCTTCCGTCTCGAGCTTGTCTTCCTCGCCTGATATGAAAGGTACGACGTTGTCGATGATGTCCATGCTGCTGACACCGGGGTACCCAGCGCCCGACACGGCCTGCATTGTGACGACGGAGACTTGGTCTATGGGGCCGAACTTGGCTTGGAGCGCGGCGAAGGGTATGACGAGACCGATGACTGCGCAGTTGGAGTTGCAGACAAGGAAACCCTTCTCCAGCTTGTGGTGTTGCCGTTGGTGCTTGATGACGTCGAGATGGGGGAGGTTTACGGTGGGTACGACGAGTGGCACGAGAGGGTCGCGGCGGTAGTTCTTTGCGTTGGAGAAGACGGCGAGTTCGGACTTGAGGAAGGCCATTTCTGTTGTATATCAGTATTGCGATCGTGATTTGAAGTGAATTGCCTACCAACGTCTCCAGCAACATCGCTGTCGAGACCAGAGAAGACCATGTCACAGTCCTTGAACTCTTCAGGTGTGCACTTCTTCACCACCAGCTCTCCAATGCGCTCCGAGAAAGGCAGCGCCTGCTTCCACTTGACCGCATCTTTGTATTTCTTGCCGGCTGATCGCTCAGAGGCTCCAACGGCGTGTAGCTCGAAGTGTGGGTGTAGCGCAAGAAGGAGGATGAAGCGCTGGCCGACGGAGCCAGTCGCGCCGAGCACACCTGCAACGGGGTCAGTCGGCTATTTCCAACCAGAGATGGTCTACACACCGCACTTCTTCTTGGGGAATTTTTTGCTCTGAGATGTAAACTTTTCAGCGTCCATTGTGGTGGTGGTTGGTATTGCAAGATTGAGTCAATCGAGTTCACAAAGTTCTGGCTAGGTATGACGCGGGGGTGGGGTGGAAAACGCGACACCAGCCGATCACGGAGGTCTTGCACGCGCTCATTTGCCGACTGGCTTGCCATGAACAACACTTTTTCATTACCAGACCAAAACAACACTAAACGATGAGGCGGTACGAAATCTATATATGCTCTTTGCGGATGCACCGATAACCAAGCGTCCTCCAATGCGTGTTCGTCGAGGAACTTCAGAACGATGCGCCATCTCGACATGCGATTCTACGCCTGAGCGTCCATGATCTTTCCCGGGTTCATCAGCCAGTACGGATCCAATGCGCCCTTGATGCTTCTCATCACATTGATAGTGTCGAGACCGAGTTCTTTCTGCAATGATTCCTTCTTGCCCAACCCAATGCCGTGCTCGCCGGTACATGTGCCATCCATCTCAAGCGCACGGTCGACCATGTCATGAACGCACTTCTCGACAGCCGCTCGCTCTTTGGGATCTTTGCTGTTGTACATGATGCTTTCGTGGAAGTTGCCGTCTCCGATGTGACCTAGGATGCTGGCGAAGAGACCGAGGTCATCCATCTCCTTCTTGGAGATTTCTATCGACACGTTAGCGACTTATCGAATTCAAGTATTCGTTTAACATACCTATAATATCTGGTAGCCTGGAGATCGGCACGGCGACATCTGTTGACCAGACCTCGTCGCCTTCACGACGAAGCGCCAACATGCTCCATAGAGACTCCTTGCGCGCAGACCACAGCGTCTTCTGCTCTTCAGCGCTGACGGCGAATTCAAAGTCCCCGCTCTTGTGTTTCCTAGAAATGGACTTGACCAGCTCAATGTTCTCCTGTACCTATATGCAGTCAGTTCCACTCTAGGCAATTGCAGGACACGTAGGGCTGACGTACCCCTGCCTTCGTTCCCGAAAATCTGTTTGAGGCTCTTAGCTCGTGCTTTCACATGTCAAAGGGTTATTCTAGAAACTTACTTGAAGAACATGGTCGGCAATTCTTTCCACTTTTTGGTCGTTGATCCGGCTTTGTTGATTACGCCCATCTGCACGTCATCCATTATCTCCATCGCAGCCACCGGCACTCCGGCGCGCAACACCTTGGAAGCTGCGGCTGCGGCATCTCGTATCGTGGGAAAGGTGACAACTGCGACGCTGGTTTCTTGTGGTACTACTGCGAGTTTCAACGTGATCTCAGTCACGATACCCAGGGTGCCTTCGGAGCCAACGAAGAGGTTGGTAAGATTGTAGCCGGCCGATGACTTCCTAGGAATAGTCAGTTTATCGCACATTCCGACACGGAGATAGTTCTCATACCTGGGCCTTCTTCTAGTCTTGATGATTGTGCCATCAGCAAGGACTACAGTGAGATTGATGACCCAATCCTTCATCGTGCCGTATCGCACCGCGTTGGTGCCACTAGGAGGGTCAGCTGTTGGACCACGTCACTGACCACCATAGACCTTACCTGCAGCTTGTACCCACCATACCGCCAATTCGGGCCTGCCACGCCCGTTAGAATGAATTCGGAGTTCCGCATCGGGGTTTCCGAGGGTTGATTGCAAAGCTGTGTAACACATGAAAACGTACCGATGGGCCAGGGTCGACTGGGAAAAATAACCCCGAGTCTTTGATCTGATCATTGAGACTCATCCAGGGTACGGAAGGCTGAACTACGACGTCCATACTACGCATCACTGTCAGCGTCGCCAGTCTTGCATGCTCAACGTATAATCGACTCACTCATCTTCGTGCAAGGCCAGGATCTGGTCCATGAACGAGAAGTCAATGCTCATGCCACCGAACGGAGCTGAGAAGTTGGCCTCCAAGCTTGATCCTCCAGAATATGGGACTGCGCACTGTCAACACTTATTCTTGTATGCATCTTTCTGAACGTACTCATTGGTATCTTGTACTTGTAACAGACCTTGGCAATCGTGGCACATTCCTCGGTGGACTTCGGATATGCCACCGCAACAGGAAGTTGGTCAATGTTGATAGACGACCATTCCGAATATCCGTGTCGGTGCAAATCCTCGTCGTCGGTGCTAATGGTGTCTTCCCCAAGAACATCTCTGAGCTCTAAAATCGCCTATACTAAACTAAGTGACTGGTCGATGCGAAAGGATTGTATAATTGCAAACTTACCCTCTCCATCTCGTATTTGTTCGCATATTGGGGCCCTGATGACTTCTTCCATGGCATTTGAATCCTGTGCGGTTCGTCATTGGCGCCGTAGAAGTATGTGGTCGTCCCAGTAACTGCAGAAAATAGCAAGACCCGTCCTGAGTTCCAAAATGGCCTTTGAAGTTGCTCGGCTTTGAAGGTCTGCTCGCGTCCAGTGCGTGCTCGAGCGCCACCTCGCTTGAAGAAGGGTGAGGTTATTTGCCTCAGTCGCGCCGCTGGCTGGCGGAACATGACGAAATCGACAACGAAGAAGGGAAAATGAAGTTGCAATCAGTTGTTGGGATGCTGGGAAGGACTAGAAGTGGAATCCACTTTCGCTGACTACGGGTCAGGGCGCATTTAGCGAACTAGTATGATAGCAGAGTGGAGGAGAAGATGGTTGCAAGGCTGGCCTACGCATTTTGTGGATCTAGAAGCCGCACGGCAAGCACAGTAAGAGCGGGGAGAGGTTATTTCAGTCTAAACGCAGTTGGCGCGATAGTTCTTTCGGGTATCGCTTTGAGCGTCGTTGGCCAGCGCACAGGCAAAGTCGCAATACACGTCCTAAAAGTCGTGGGATGGACCAGTGATAGCGTGGGAGGCTGACGAGATTCCCGATTTTCTGTATCAAATTTTTCGGCTCACGCATCAAATGAAGTCGTGCATGATCACCTGCAAGGGGCTTGGACACACGCAAGGTAATTGCGGGGAAGACCAGGGCAACGACAAGCAAATGTGTTGGTTCGAGGCGCATCGTGGCGACAGGTGACGCTGAATGACATTCCGAGTAGATGCCGTCGCGTGACGAGGCGTTCGCTAGGGCCCCGAGCGGCTGCAGACGAGGACCGAAGATGTGGATCTGGAACTTTGCGGACGACAACGATACGCTGCTGCGAGGTATGCTTTCTTTTCGAGGGCGAGACAGGCGGCAGAAGAGGCGCCTGTCAGGGACAACCTTCTACCTCGATGTCCGATGCCCATGGCTGAGGCTCAAAAGCAGAAGCTTGGGAGGCTTGGGGAGAAGCTGAGCGGCAGACTTGCCCTTGGCGATTGGACGACGGTGATACCATTACCTCACGAAACCTGCTCCTCTCGTCTGTGCAGCTCAGATGCTGGCTGACAAT